GGTAAATCAACTATACTCCAATAAAAATTTAAAAAATAAAAAATAACATAAAATAAAATTTCATATAGTCTAATTTGTCAAATATTTCCTTTGTGACTTCTGGGTTTAATAAAATAACTCCCTTTGTCTATAATTAAAGATTATTAAATTATTTCCTGAATTTTCTTCTGGTATAATAGATTTTACTTCCGATATTTAAATATTTAATCTAACTCAAACGTGTTTTTGTTTACGGTGTGAGGCAGGGGTTTGCCTTTACTTTCCAAATGTGTTCTCCCAATACTACCTGTTTACCTTTTTCGCCTGATTAAAAATGCCATCTGTGTAATAAAGTAAATTTTTATCCTGTTCCATTGATCTTTCTGGCCCTTCCTATACTACCTTAATTTATTTTAGGAAATGTACCATAATGTATTTAACCAAAACGTCATTCACCTCCTATACCTACCCCCTTCATATCTCCACTTATATCCCTTTCATAACAAATTATTAGCCATTTTGTCATATTTATTCTTCCATATGTAACTCAGAATCAAGTTTGGGAACTTTCTTTTCAAGTTTCCATGGAGATGGAACATCTTCACAGAGATGTCGTGCAGATCAAATGAGCTCACGCAGAGGTTCTCAACCCTGGCTGCACGGTAGAATCACTGGGGGGTACTTTTTAACATACCAACACTGGGGTCCCACCTCCACAGACTCAGATTTCATTGATCAGGGGTGTAGTCCAGACGCCAGAAGTCCTCCAGAGGATTCCAATGTGCTGCCAAGACTGAGACCACATAGCTAAAGCGTATGAACATGCTCTGAAAAGATGCCCTGTTCTCCCATGCCCTGGCCAGGCACTGCTGTCTCCTAGCACGATCACTCACCCGCACCGTCTTGTTCTCCATGTTGATGGTGGGGACGCTGGTTCGGAGGAACAGGGTGGCCCAGCTGGCTACCCTGACTCGGTCAAAGTCTTTGTAATCCTGGAGGGGGGAAGGATGGGTCAAAAGAAGCAGCTGAAGCCCTTCTGAGCCTCTCTCCTGACCCTCCCTCAGGGTCAACAACAACCCCCAGGACACCATCCCCCCCATCCTTAAGCGGCACACAAAAGGACCTGACACCAGGCCTCTCCTCTACACACGAACACACGTCATTCATTCATCTGTGCGTCAGGTCCTGTGCTGGATGCTGGGGACAGCAGAGACAATGAAGGTCACAGTCTAGGTCCGGCCTGTGGGCTAAATCTGGCCCATGACCTGCTTTTGTAAATAAAGTATTTCTGGCACACAGACGCGCCCGTTCATCTATTATTGTCTGTGGCAGCTTTGTGCTACTGTGCGGAGCTGAGTAGTGGCAACAGAGAGCACGTGGCCCACAGAGCTGAAAAGACGTTTCATCTAGTCATTTACAGAAAAAGTCTGGTCTACGTGGCACAAGACGGCTGGCACTGCAACCCAGAGCAGAGCATGGTGAGTGGCATGTGTGGTTTCTGAGAAAGTTCTGTGCGTGTCCAGAGGGGAGAGGTCATTTTCAGCTGGAAAAGTCAGAAAAGACCTCGCTGGTGGTCTCTTGAGGGAGACTGTGAAGCCTGAACAGAAGTTTACATGCAGAGATAACAGAGGCGAGCCGGCATCCAGGGGGAAGGAACAGCACGGACCAAAGCAGGGAGGTGGGAAAGCAATGGACACGTGACAGAATAATGAACATGTGAGAGAAGGTCATCTTGGCTAGAGACAAACTTATGTCATATCCCCCACACAGATGTACAGACTAACACTGACACAGTAACAGGTGCACAACCCAGCGTGTATCAGTCTCCATGCAGTCACTGACACACACTTGGGCACACACATGCACTCTAGCCTCATCCTCTTCCTGTTGCTCTCCCTGCCCGGATGGGTGGCAGTGGAGACCTCCAGACCCCAGCACTGACCTCGATGAAGGTGCTGTTCCACACTCGTGCCTGCACTGTCACGTTGGTGATGACGGGGGCATCAGGAATCCTGCACTCCAGCCACACACAGCGGGTGTGGTCACCGCCACAGCTCTGAGGTGGGCAGGGAACACAGAACACGAGGCAGCCTGGGTCTCTAGATTCTTCAGGCTTCGCCCCTGGCTTTGTCCCACCCATGGCTGACCTGAAGGGGCCTGCCCGAATCCCTTCACTCATGCACACTGCACTTACGTGTTTAAGGCGCATTCTTTGGGCCAGGCATACATAGATGCCAGCGACAGGGGGAACGGGAAATCTGATCCTTGTTCGTGTAAATGGGGCCCAATCCCAAACGCCACCTTTCCAATGCCTTCCCACGCTGAGCCTTTGGTCCTGCCGGCTCCCTCTACTTGGAAGGCCACTTCTCCCTCTCCACCCAGCTAGACCTCAACTTGCTGCCCAGGTCTGCTCCCCTCTCCCTTCTGACAGAGGGCGCCCTGCACCCTGTCTTCATCTTGCCTCTCCCCATTCCCAGCCCTAATGATCAAAGCTTTGAGCAGCTATATCACCCCCAACAGGTTGGGGCTCCTGGGAACAGAATCAGTATTTCTCCCTTCAGTCCACTGTACTGGCTTGTGTAAACACAAGGCAAGGGCAGCGGGGTCCCTCTGAGGGCAGGAGATGAGTCCCTCCCCCTGACTGGAGGCTCCTGAAGGCAGGGGCCACATCACCTCATCAGACTGGGTTCTCCTGGGGCGTAGCACCTATCTCCCTTGCTTCGTGTGCACCCTGTGATGGGTGGGCGCAATCCCCTCCAACCTTGCCCCGGTCACTCACCAGCTGGATCTCAGACTTGGCTTTCTTGGCAGCAGCCAGAGTGACCGGCAGGGGGCCCTGGCCTCCCCCGGGGTCCAGTTGTCGCCGCCTGCGTTGTGGAGATGGCGGCCTGTCCCCAGGAACCTGAAGGGGGAAGAGGTGATTTGTTGGAGGGAGGATCAAAGGTGAGGAGAGGAGGAAAGGGCAGGTGGAGGGGCAGGCCCCAGAGGTGTAGGAGGAGAGGGAGAGGAAGACGCTGGCCTTTCTGCCCTGCAGGTTGCAAAGGAAATGAGATGCAAGTGAACGCTTCCCCTGGTGTCCTTACAGAGAGAGTGAGGTTGAGAGGGTTGACAAGGTCTCCAGGTGGCCGGCAGTGCCAGGACCCATTGCCGTGGACCGTGATCTCTGTGGGGTATAGCAGCCACTTGCCATTGCTGACTTCATAGGGCCACTCCAGCCCCAGGATCAGGGTACCAAGGGCTGCCAGCCCTTCCCCCACTGGGCCCACCTGCGGGTACAAGGGGTATCATGGCTACTGTCTCCTGGAAAACCACCTCCATCTCACCAACCCCCACCCTCACACCCTCAGACCCTGGACCCAGAGGTCCCCTTACCTGGAATTCATACTTGAGAGGGCTTCCCACATCCTCCACAGTTTTCATGCCAGACTCACCCATCACTGTCCCCCCAAAGAAGCTTTGTAGCCGGTGACTCACCCTAGGGGTAAGAAAGATGCTGGAGTCACAGGGGATGGGAGGGGCCCTTGCGGGGGCGGGGGCACCAAGGTTAACTACAACTCCTCTGATATCAGGCAGGCCTGAGATAAACCCCAGCTCTAGCATTTACTAGCTGTATGGCCTCAAACAAGTTGTTTATCCTCTCTGAGCCTCAGTTTCTTCATCTGTAAAGTGGGGTTAATCTGTTAAGCAGGGTCACTATATAATGGGGTTGTTGTGAGAAGACAATGAGATGATGTATATAAAATCCTTAGCATTGTATATACATGCCACATCTTCTTTATCCATTCATCTGTTGATGGACACTTAGGTTGCTTCCCCTAGAGTCTGTCATACAGAGGGAAGTAAGTCAGAAAGAGAAAAACAAATACCGTATGCTAACACATATACATGGAATTTAAAATTTTTTAAAAAATGGTCATGAAGAACCTAGGGGCAAGACTGGAATAAAGTCACAAACCTACTAGAGAATGGACCTGAGGACACGGGGAGGGGGAAGGGTAAGCTGTGACAAAGTGAGAGAGTGGCATGGACATATATACACTACCAAACGTAAAATAGATAGCTAGTGGGAAGCAGCCGCATAGCACAGGGAGATCAGCTCGGGCTCGGTGCTTTGTGACCACCTAGAGGGGTGGGATAGGGAGGGTGGGAGGGAGACGCAAGAGGGAAAAGATATGGAGATATATGTATATGTATAACTGATTCACTTTGTTATAAAGCAGAAACTAACACACCATTGTAAAGCAATTATACTCCACTAAAGATGTTTAAAAAAATATATATCCTTAGCACAACAAGCTCTCATGAAATGGCAGGGCCACACCAACACCTTAGCCCCAGAGTTTCTGATTCCTTCACTGCTACCTGCTTTGCAAGGAGAATAATAACAATAGTAACAATAATGATAGTGATATTGATATGTCTTGGCCTAAGGATACCAAGCCAGGAGAGGTGTCTCAGAGGAGCTTGAGAGACACCTTAGGCAGGGGAGACCCTAGCTCAGGCCCAGCAGGCTGGGGTTGGGGGGAGTGGCACCCACATGCTGAGCGAGGCCTGGAGTGTGTAATCCACCAGCAGAGTCAGGGTTATGGGCCACAGGTCATCCTGGTGACTTGACCTGGGGAAAGAATGGGGAGGGCAGGGGAGGAATGTGTCAGCTGAGGCTGGGGTGGGGGGGCCCAGGACATCTCAACCCCGACATAGCCTGGCTTCTCGAGGTCACTCACGTGGAGAGCTGCAGCTGTGCCTGGAGTTCCCTTGTGTGCAGGGTCACCCCAATGACCTCGAAGGCAATGAGCAGCTCCATCTGCCATGAGGGTGAGGGAGGCAGAGAGGGGCGTTTGGGGCCAGGCAGGGGTGAGGCCATGGGGAAGCGAGGGGCTGAATGCTACGCTAAGGAGTTGGTTCTCTGGCCTCCTCCTCCCATTCAGGGTGCGGTCTCCCACTGCCACCTGTCTCCATTTTTCCACCTTCCTAGCCCCTTCTCTTTCCCTTTTCCCATTCTCTTCTGTTAGTAATATCTCTGCTACTTTTGAGCCACATGACCTTGAGCAATCACTGAAACTATATAAGCCCATGTTTCCTTTCTGTAAATCAGCATCTACCTCCTCAGAAGGTTGTGAGAATTATATCATATAAAAGAAGCACAGCCTTGGGGTCAGGGCCTGGCACATAGTAGGTGCTCAGCAAAATCGGTTTCCTCACCTCCACCTGCTCTAGCTTTGTGCATAGCTCCCTAGTGGCCCCATTTTTCTGTCTCTGGGTCTCTCCCCACCCCCTACTGTATCCCCCCCCTCCTCCACTCTGGCTCTTTGCTTCAAGGAGGCCTGGGAAGCAGGCAGGCAGAGTGAAGATAAGGAACTCATCAGAGGAGTAGCCTGGGACCCACGGGGTTGGGAGGGTGTGGTCGGCGCTCACCCTCTGGTTCCGTTTGAAGGGGTTCCCCAGCTCGCAAACGATGGTCATGGTCTCGTTGGCTTGGCAAGCTCCAGGCTGAAGAAAGAAGACAAATCACGTCTGGGTGGTCAGACTAGGGCTTGTCCCGCCCCTCTCCTGTGGTACAGGGCCTGAAGCCCTAGAGGCCTGAGAACCCATGTGTTCTCCTAGCAGCAGAGACGCTGCAGGCACCTGAGGAAGCCCAGCCTAGAGGAGTTGAGGGGGGGGGCGGGGAACACATGGCAAATGACAACACATATACATGACATGTATGAAGGATGCATATACGTGGTGGAGCCGTGATTGGGCTCCGAGGGGGCGGAAGGCACTCACGGGGCGCACTGAGGACAGCAGCAGGGCGGGAGGCACCGCCAGGGTGAGCAGCGCCTCGTGGGCGTCTTCCCCAGCCCGCTCCCGGCTTGGGGTGTTGGTCAAGTTGATGCTCAGCAGCAGTTTTCGGAAGTCTCTACTGTACGGGAGCCTGAGAGGGGAGGAGCCCCGGGCTGAGCCCAAAGCCCCGCCCCCGGGCCCGCCCCAGACCTGTTAGGCCCCGCCTCCAGAAGAAAGCCCCTTTTCTGGCCAGGGAAGGCCAGTCTTAACAGCTCCCACCCCGCTAATTAAGGTCCCTCCTCTCCGATTCGCCTCTCTCTGAGACGCCTCCCCTCAGATCTTACCAGTTCTCTCCCCTCTTCCAGACCAATAGGGCCCCGCCCCTCAACTCCCCAAAGCCAGTGAAGTCCGCCCCACCCTTGGCCAATCCCCGCGGTCCAGAGCGCACCTGCTCAGCCGCTGCCCCAGCTCAGACACGAAGGCCGCCTGCATCTGCAAGTTGCTGTCGCACTTGTTGTCCGGCCCGCACTCCTTCTGGAACTGGACCTGGGGGTGGTCGGAGGCGTGGAGGTCCCACCACTCACAGCGCCCTCTGGCCCCACAGCTCTCCGGGTCCCTGTCCTTCGGCCCCACCCACCTCCGTGTGGTTCTCCAGAGCCTGCGCCTGGTTGAGGACCGGGTAGGCGTCCAGGGACCGAAGCCCCAGTCGGGGGCGCTCAGGCATCCGCAAAGGTAAAGAGTAGTTCATGGAGATGATGATGGGTCGGAGTTTGTCGCGGACGTTGTCCTGGGAAAGGAAGGTGCGCTGAACCCAGCTCTGTACTGCCCTCCAAACCAAGTTGAATCCTCACACCATCCTAAACCCCTAGGGAGGAGCTGAAGGCCCCCACCCCACCTCAACCCTGAAAACCCGCTGTAAGGCTGAACCCCCTCCCGTCTGATCACCAAATTGACCCCACTGGTACCACCTTGACCCACAAGTGAGAAGGTGGGGCTCCTCCTCTCCAGGGATCCCTCTGGGGGGAGGGTTGAGCTTCCCTTCATCCCTGGGGTTCCCAGGTTGAGTTCTCCCTTCTCACCCTGATGTCCCAGAGAGAGCCTGAGCCTGCCCCTACTAACGGATGCCTTTTCCCCAGGGGTGAGCTGAGGCGAGAATGTCACACCCCTCACTGTGGCCCCCATCCGCACTCCAAGGGTCTCCTCTCTCCTCTACCATGGGCTGGGTGCTGTGCACTGTACCCTCTACTCACCTATGGCCTTCCAGGCCGACCTGCCACCTCTGTCTCTGGGGAGACCTCATTCCCTCACCCTTGACCTTGGGGACTCTGGCTACCTCTTCCTGGGGCCATGGAGCCCATGTGCCACCCCTCGCCCCTCCCTCACCATCAGGAGCAGCTCCAGCGTCTGGCAGCGCATCTCGGGCATGGAGAAGAAGCCATGGAAGATAGCTGACTGACTGCGTGCAAAGCGGAGCCGGGGTGGGCGGCGGTCCCGGTCGGCCTCCAGAGTGTAGGCCAGGGCTGCAGGTGCACAGTGTGGTCAGCAAGAGACCAGGTGAGCATGCCCTCCCCCTCGCCCTGCAGCCCAGCACTCACTGATGTTCCGCCTGTAGTTGGGGTCCCCGGCACTCTGGTTGTAAGCAAAGCACAGCTCCACCTGCACGCTGTTGAGGGTGGGGGACATGGAGGAGGGTCTGGTCACAGTGGGACCCAGATATCCAGACCCTGGCTTTCACCCCTTTTCCTGGGCAAGGCGGAACAGGGCCCTTCAGGGAAAAGGCAGGGACAAAACTGGGGAGTCCACAGGGTTGGGCTGGGGTGTCCCTGGCCCCTTCCTTCCCTACTCTCATCAGAGCCATAGAAAACAGGGTTAGAGGCACCAATGGGGAAACGGAGGCCCTGAGAGCAGGAGCTGCCTGAAGCCATTAGTCAGTTGTTGGCCCGGCCCAGTCTTGGGCAGGATCCCCAGTCCAGATCTCCCTCCCCACCCCGCCCCCCACTTCCCTGCCCTGTCTCCCCCTGCCTTCTGATCCAGTACCCTCATTCACACACAGACCTTGGGGTCATCACCATCATTATTGTAACCATCTTAGCAACTAACATTTTTTGAGCACTTAGGGTTTATAGAGAGCCATGCTAAGGGCTATTTGTATATTATCTCATTTGATGATCATAGCAGCCCTGTGAATTTGTTATTAACTTTGTTTTATAGGCAAGGAATCTGAGATTCGGAGAGATTAATTTGCTCAAGGTGGCTCTCTCTCCTTCCCCACATCCCATCGCCTAAGTGTATTTCTCTTCCCTCCCCTTGCAGGATCTCACCCCCCAGAGCCCATCCCCACCACTGCAATGGCCATACCTGGAATTTGAACCAGGCAGTCAGAGCTCCCACTGTCAACCACCGTGCCCTATTGCCCCAACCCCCAATTCACCCATGACCTCCTGCAAGGAATTTTGCTTTTTAATGAGGTTGGGTAGGGAGGGCCATGCTTACCCAAGAATCAACCCTTTAATGGTGGGATATCAGGAGTTGCCAGGGGAGGGTTTTGGGAGAGTCTTCCCATACATCAGGAGGAATGGGTGGGCAGAGTGGGGCCTGAGGGTCTCACCAGGAGGTGGCTGTGCAGAGTGCGGGGTCCAGTACAGATGGCCTGGCCACCAAGGTCCTGTGGAGGATGTTGATGACAGGCCGGGCCCTGCATGGAAAACCCACAGACATCAATGCCTCTGGCCTGTCCCAGGCCAGGCTGGGGTCGGGGCTCAGGTTTGCACGGACATGATGCTGAAGGTGGACAGAGCTGGGGCTCCGTGCAGACAGGGATGGAGGAGAGAAAGGCCCCCACCCACTGTTGCCCTGGCTTACCGCAGCAGCACGATGTGGTCTGACAGGCTCCCCACCAGCAGGTCTGGGTAGAGGTTCTCATCCACATCCATCTGCCCACTCAGGGAGTAGCCGAAGGTGGCCAAGCCAGGCAGTCCCAGCTTCTCTCCGTGTATTACCTGGAGGCAGAGGGAAGTGGTGGGGACAGGCTCTGGGGTAGGCTCCAGGGAGCGGGGCCCAGGGGGAATAGGGAGGGGTGGATGAGGGAAAGGAGGAAGGGCCCCTCCGTCCCTGTCCATCCATACCTGCTGGGGCTGTCTGAGGAGCCCCCTGGAGCTGCCGTGGTAGAGGTACACTTTGCCCAAGCCCTCGAAAGGGGCTCCCACGGCAACGTCTGGGGAGGAGAGACAGTACAGGGTCACCCCGTGTACTATGGGCCCCACAGTTCCCCGACCCTGTGCTCCAGGCCACAGAGCCCAGCATGGCATTGACCTCCCTGTCAGACAGTGCTCAGAGCATCAGGGAACAGAGCTCTGTGGCTCAGGATTAAAACTGGGACCACTGGGCACCCAATTGCCTCTTTTATATGAGGGAAATTAGGCCCAGAAGAGGGAAGTGACTTACCCAAAGTCACAAAGCAAGTTAATGTGTCCAGCAGGCCTAAACCCCAGATTTCTGACCACTGGCTGTTGTTTGTTTTCCCTTATTGCAGTGCCTTCCTTCTCCCCCACCAACCGCCCCTCCAGACGCCTGGTTCTTCTAATGACATTTACCAGCAGGGTCACAAAAGCAGGTGTTATCCGTTGGTGACTTTGCCAGGTAGTTATCAAGCACTCATCTCATCCAGTCCTCACAAGAGTACTGGCAGTAGGTACTACTTTTTTTTGTTTTTTCTCTTGGCAGTAGGTACTACCGTCCCCACTTCATAGATGAGAAAAAAGGCTCAGGAAACCCGAAGTCACACAGCCGAGGAGTAGAGAAGAGCCTCTAAGCCCATGTGTGTCTCCCTGTGGGGGCTGGGATTATCATCACAGCAGTCTAGTGAGCTTTACTTGTTAAAATGGCCAGGCTTTTTAATTCTAAACATTATTTGCACAAATAAATCTAAAACGTTTTGTGTTCTTAAACTTTCTAGTTTTCTGCTTTTGACCTGATAAGGTCTCGGTAACCAGAAAGCCAAGCTTGTTAGAAAAGGAAAAGGAAGTAGGTCCTGAGTGACAACTGGGCAACTCTTGTATCAGTAAGTGCTTGGGCTTCATTAACTAGACTTTCTAGCACCTGTTTTGTCTCTTTAGCGGCGCCTCTGCCTTCCTTTTGGTTTTCAGGTATGTTCTGGGAAGTTGAGGTTGTCAGAGAAGTGATTTACACATACGCCAGGTGCTCCCGTGGCAACCAGGCTCAACCCCTTGATTTGTCCCTCTCCTTGATACACCAGGTCTGATTGGTCCCCAAGTCCTGCAGAGCACGAATGACATCCCCTATATCTGGGACGTCTATCTTGTCCCAGCGCTTAACGTCCCACACCTGATATACTATATTCTTGATCTTAACACCCCCAGCCTTGCTCCCCGCATCCATCCATCCCACATCTCCCTCCAGAATCATCTTGCAAGGTGCCAAGCTATCATATCAAATCCCTGCCCCCAAATCTTTTTGGACACCGCTCTGCCATAACCCAAATATAAAGCCCTAGTTTTTCTGCCTGGCTCTCAAAGCGGCCACCCCACCCCTACACTACCTCTCCAGCCTCATCTCTGATGTGAACAACCCACACCTACTAGATTTGAGCACATCAGGCAAGTGTACCACACTCATGTTGTGCCCCTTCTCTTCCCTCCACTGTGTACACTCAGCCCAGCCTTTGATGCCCAGTGGTACGTCCACTCCTCCAGGAGGTCTACCAAGCCTCGCCTCTGTGGGGGCTCCCTTTGCACGCTGTCTCTCCAGCACTTCTGTGAGCTCCCCAGACCTGGGCCCCAGCCTGTCATCTCTTCGGACCCTGTCAAGCCTGGTATGCAGCTGGCTCTCAGTCAGTGGATGCTGGGGCAGGAGTGCTGGCTCATACCCTGGAATCCATCCTGGTTGATGTCACCGATGCTTGCCACGGAGAAGCCAAAGGCAGAGCGACTGGGGCCGTGAAGAAGGAGGGAGGGGTGGGCCGGGAAGGAGGTGCCTGCCTGGTTCATGAAGACATAAATGGCACCCCCTACCTCCTCTTTCCGCTCAAAGTAATAGGGGGCACCCACCAGGAGGTCCTGCCACCTGCACAGGAGAGAAGAAGGTGGAGATGGGACATGCAGCATAACTCTTGTTTAGCAGACATAACTGTGCCAGGCAGGGCACGTGACTCTACAAATGGCGCCTCTGGCCATAGGTCACGGGAAGGACAAGGAAGCGTCACTGTGACCCGTCTAATAGAAAACACACGTTGTGGAGAAGCCATGTAGACACAGGTCACACCCAAACAGCCCACATCCACTAGAGCCATACAGATGACAGGCATAGACGAGGAGATGCAAGCCTCGTGAAATTGACATGCAAATACCCAGAATCCCATAAAGTCTGATTGCAGATCAACATGCAAAATTGACTAGCAAATCCCTGCAAACAGCATGCAAAGAAATGCACAATTGCAAACCTCCATCTCTCTGCCCTGCTTTGGGCAAGCCCGCCCCCCTCACCATAATCCCAGCCCCAGAGAAACGTCCCTGGATTCTCACCCATCATTGTTCAGGTCTGCCAGGGCAATGGCACTGCCAAAATAGGCGCCCACCTGCCTGCCCTCCAGCACCTGCCTCCTCCGCAGGTCTCCACCCGCCTCCTGGCTCAGCAAAAAGACAGCGCCCACGTGTTGGTGCCGAGGGGCACCCGTCACAATGGTGGTGCTCGTAGGGTGCAGGACGGCACTGCCCACCTGCATCGTGTAGCCTGGGAAGCGGGGAAGGTGGTCAATCAAGGCTCCAGTAAGTTTTGTCCCCTTCTACTCTGGACCCACCTCCCAATATCCCCCCGTTATCTTCTGTTCCTCTATTCTAAGTTGGGCAAGAAGGTGGACCTTGGATGCCCAGCCCCCCCAGTCCTGCCTGCACACTGGACCGTGAGCTCCACGAGGGTCATGACTCTGCATCTTGGGGGCATACAGGTGGTGCTCAATAACTGTGTGCTAGCTGAATTAAATGCCACTAGTCGCACTGCACCCTGGCCTCACTCTTCCACCAGACACCGAAGGTGAGAGGGCCACTGAGCCCCTTTCCTCCTCTCCACCCAAAGGGCCACCACAACTGGACTCACCAATGTAGAGGTTGCCTTGGTCCGCTGGGTCCTTGTAACTATATTCGGATAAATCCCAGTCCTTCCGCTGAATCATGTAGCTGTTTCCTTCAAGAGGATTTGAGGAGGGGGAGTATAAGTCACCACTCTTTTCCTCCACTATGTCCAGGCCCCCCACCTCCAGATAAGGATAATAATAACCCCTTTTATTTGTGAGTACTTTGCCATTTGCAAATCACTTCCTCTTTATTTTAACAATTCTGTGAGGTAGAATGATGACCCCCATTTTGCAGATGAGAAAAGTGAGGCTCAGGGATGGAGAGCTAGTTGTCCAGCTGGAATCCAGTCATCCAGGCACCCAGATACTGGATGACATTTCCCTCACCCTAGACACCGAAGCCAGACTCCACACCATTATATCCTCCTAATCCTGCCCCAAACTCGGGCTGCCTACCCCTACCCTGCTCCCCAGGGCTGCTGCTGGAGAGTACCTGTGGCCCTGCCAAGATTCTAAAGGACCAAGGGGTGGGAGGTAAGACTAGCAGAGTGAGCAGAGGCCTCGGCCTCAGGCAAGCCCAGAGCTGTGACTACGCCCTGCGCTACCTGTTGGTCAAGAGGACAAAATAAATAAATCATTGGGATGTAACATAGAGCATAAGAAATATAGTCAATAATAATGTAATCACTTTGTATGGGGACAGATTGTTTCTTCACTTATAGGGGTGATCATTTTATAATGTATTTAAATGTTGAATCACTATGCTGTACACCTGAAACTAACAAAATATTGTATGTCAACTATACTGCAATGAAAAAAAGCAAAAGCAGATTCTGGGCTCCCTCTGCCTGTTGGTTCTGCAATAGCAGGTGCAGGAAGGGAAAAGGCGCCACTGTTGCTACAGCCTATGTGGTGGAGAGAGGCAGGTGGAGGGGGTGTGAGCCGTCAGACTCCTGAGAGGCAGTATGTGGTGTGGCAGATACAAGCATGACTTTGGATACAAGGAGATCTCTGCAGCCCTCCCAAAAGACTGCCCTGTATGTACTGACGTGAAAAGATGCCCACAGTTTATCGATACGTGAAAAGGAAGTAGCAAAACAGTATGTTTAATGTGAGTGTGTGTGTGTGTGTGAAGATACCTATACATTCTAAAATAAGTCTGGAAGGATCCACAAGACACTTAGCAGTATACACTGGGAAATGGGACAAGGAAGATGGGGGAGAAGAAGGGCACTTTTCCTCTTTATTTTACTGTACCATTTAGTAGTCGTACCAGGAACGTGCTTTGTTTTTTAAGTTTTTAAATGGTGGACCTGCATTCCAATACAGGTTTCAGAACTTACTGTTGGCCTTGGGTGATCTACTTCACCTCCCTGAGGCTCAGTTTTCTGTAAAATGAGTATAATAATACTCGTATTTTAAGATTAATTCAGATAATAGGTGTAAAGCCTCTGGTACCTAGTAAGCACTTTAAAATAGCAGAGGTCGAGGTAGTTGCTGGTGTTGGCAAACGAATGCTGTCCTCTGCCCTCTTGTGTGGAGGCTCTGGCAGGCTGCCCTCGGGCCTAACAGGGGTGGTGGCCTCTGCCCTCTCCCCTTGCCCCGCGGTCCCCACCTTTCCAGTTGTAGGCACCAGGAGCGCCAAAGTACACAGTGTTTTGGGTGAAGCCGCCGCTGGCGCCCAGCTGACACATGCCGGTCTCCAGGTAGTCGGTGTTGCTGTTGCACATCTCGTTGTGGTAGGTCTGCCAGTCATCACTGGGGTCCAGCTCCAGGTCGTTGCCCCTCACATAGCACTTGCCCACCATGCGCCGCTGGTCCTCCGACCCCGACCACAACACCTGGGTGTAGCGGTGGGCACAGACCTGGGGACCCCAACCCCCACCAACGCACACAGCTGAGCCCGCGGCAGGGACTCAGGAGCAGTGTCTCCACAGCCCTGTGTGCCTCTGGCTTTGCAGGAGGGGAGTGGAAAGAGGTCTCCCAGCTTTTCTTTCTTCCCACAGTGGTGCTTGGACCTGCATTGCCTTTCCAGAATTCAAAAATCTGCTCTGAAGCCTGAGAACACTTTTGGAAGACCAGAAGGTATTGGATTTGAGAGTGGCTTAGGGATCTTGGCAAAACGAAAAGGGAAAAGGATGAGAGAATGTGGGGTTCAGGCCCTTGGGTCTAAAAGGAGCTAGACACAGAGCAGGTTAGGAATTTGCTTCTCTGCTGTCCCGATGGCCTCGCCCTCTTAATGAAAGGTCAATATTAGAACAACCATAGCAGCAGCGGCTATAACACTTACTGAGTGCTGACTATATGCCAGACACAAGTCTGAGCTCTTCACATATTAATTCTTTTAAGCCTCCTACCAGCCCTATGGAGTAGGGATAATTATCTTCCCCATTTTAGATAAGGAAACTGAGGCACAGAGAACTAAGAAACCTGCTTAAGATCTCACATCTAGAGAGAGGCAGGGGATATTCTAACGAAGGCTGTCGGGCTCCGGGCTCTGAGCTCCTAAGTGTCAGGCTGTGCTTCCTCTCTTGAAGCTTCTCCCTGCACATGGGCGGTGCTCCATAAAGAGTTATTGGGCAAATCAATCAGAATAGGGTATTTGTAAAAACAGCCAGGGGCCAGGGGAAACCCAGAACCAGGCCTAGTTTTTGTTTGCTTGCCGTCTGTGTCCCCGTCCAGCCGTGAGCCAAACCCACGCTCGTGCTGGCCTGAGCCTGTCCCGGGTAACTACAAAGTTTGTAGTGCGGGCTCAGTGCGGGGCACACAGGACGTGCTCACCAAAAACGGACTGAATGAATGGATGGGTGAGCAGAAAACTGCTGAAGGACCCAGGATCTAGAACTGACTTAAGTGGAAACCTGGACCCACACCATCCTTAACAAAAGACTAGAAAGGGTGTTTCAGTGAATGGGTCAAACCCAGAGCTTATGACAGTGTTCAGAGGTGACAGAAATCACAACGCGATCCAAAGGTGATGGCTATGGGGGTGATGGTTGACTGGAAAGGAGTGGGCTTTCTGGAATGATGTAAATATGCTATTTCTTTAGTGGGTGTTGGTTACACAGTTGTATAAACGCAGTTCAGTTGTCAAAACGCAACTGAAACAAAATTTGTACATTCACTGTATGTAAATGTTACATGAATTTAAAGATGAAAAATAAATTGTCTATCTGGGACTCAGAAATTGAGGAGGTGACAGCTGACAGCGGGGAGGGGGCCCCCAAACCCCAGCCGGGTGAGCTGGGGCAGCAGGGCTGTGCCTCTTCCACCAGCCGGCCTCCCCGGAAGGAGCGCGCCCAGGCCGCACTGCCTGAGGCCCTCTCTGCCCTTTCCATCTCACAGTTCCCTCAGCTCATTCCTACGAAGGGTGAACACCACCCCCTGGGGGGGGGGGGCGGCAGTGGGTGCTTCAGACAGGACCCAGGCTGGCCCTTGGAGAGCGCCAGACACCCTCCCCACCCCCACCCCCTGCTACAAGTGCAGGATGAAGGGACACACATGCCGTGGAGACATACAGCCACAGAAATGGACATTTGCAAGGCTCCAGCTCATGCACAACGGACCCTTCTCCTGCCCTCTGCCTCCCTCCGAAGCTCCTGGGAGACGAAGGAGAGGGCTGGAGGGGGGGACCGACGGCGAGCGCCCACTTACCAGGACTCTGCCCGCAGGGCCCTGGCTGGCCACAGTCACCCCGAGCCACATGTCCTCAATAATGTGATGGTCAGGGTCACCTGTGGGCGTGGGAGGGGTCGTGAGCCAGGGCACCTCACCCCACCCTCCCAGCATCAAGAGCACCCAGGGGGCAGGGGTTGGTCCCTCCCAGATCTTCCACTCCAGCAGGGCAGCCCTCCCTCCCCGCCTTCTCCAGCCCGTCATAGTCCGAGCTCTACAAATCCCGTCTGGTCCTACTCTAGGACTCCCTCTTCCCAGCCGGACAAGAAGGGACTAGAAGCTACCCAGGTGAGCCTTCTGTCTCTTCCAGTCATTCTCTCTGTGCTACGCCCTCCACCAGGCTCCTGACCCAGCTCCCATTCCCAGGCCCTCTGCTCACTTTTCTCTGCAATGTCCATCCGTTCACAGTCGTTCTTGTGGGCGGTGAGTGGGCACAGGTACACTGCACCGGTCTGGTTGGTATAGCCATCAGGCACAGCAAGGTCCCGGGGGGCGCCAGCCAGGAGCCTGGGGGCAAGAAGGTAGGTAGACCCGGGCCCATAGCCCCCAAAGCCCGCTTCAAACAACTCACTGCTCAACGTGCATGGGCCGGGCATCCGCTCTGTGCCAGGCTCTGCCGTCTGGAGATGAATGGCTCCCCGCCCCCGCCCTCGAGGAGTGCCCAGGGTAGGGGAAGGCAGGCAAGGAGACAGACACCTGCGGTCAGCGCCTCATGAGAGGAAAGCAGGGAGCAAACCAGCCCAGACTCTGCGTGGGGGGCAATCAGGGAGGCCCACAGAAGAGGGGACCCTGGCCTGAGTCTGATGACCAGGGCTTACCAGGTGAAGGAGGGGAGGAGGGGCTCTGTAGGCCAAGGTCTGGCCTGTGCAAGAGCCGGGAAGCATGAGCAAGAGAGTGACTCAGGGATCTGCAAGGCCCTCGGTACAGCTGGAGGCCAGAAACACGGGGAGGGACAAGAGGCAGGGTGGGAAGGGCAGCCACGGAGGGATTTCAAGCAAGGGAGCGACATGGCCAGATCTGGGTTTGGGAAGGAATGCTTGGCCTCTGAGATGAAGCCAGAGGGGAAGAGAGCAAGGCTGGAGGAGTCCTGGTCCTACCTCTTTGAGCCACATCTGAGGACTTAGATCCGGGGGCGGGCACTGAAGAATGTGGGCAGGAAAGGACAACTGACCCTAAACCAGAGCTGGGTGAGCTGAGGTCAGCAGGGCCCTTATGTGACCTGGGCGATGTCTACTCTCCCCCTCCCCACCCTGTTGAGACAGACATATGAGGTATAGGGGTGGTGGCAGGGAAGCTGGGTACCTGACACTTTGGACAGTGTGGCCCCGGGGCAGAGTTCTTGGCTGGTGGGCATGAGAATAGGGATGGGTGAGGACTATAAATCACCTTGTCCCCAGCCTGCCTGGAACCCCTACTTAGGGACACCAACTGCAAGTCTCTGCAAGGGTTCTTAGGGCTCTAAGCAGCCCTTCCCATACCAGAGAGGTGACTAGAGGAGAGGAAGGCGGGTGATCAGCTTTGAAATATTATCTCAAAAGACAGTTCTTGGACCACCAGAATCAAAAATCCCTGTGATATTTGTTAAAAAGGCAAATTCTTCAGCCCACCACAGACAACCTGGATTGAATCTGGGGGTGGAGCCCTGGAACCTGCTTATTTAACATGCACCCCAAAAATTCACACCACAGTTTGAGAACCCAGCTCTACCACCCCTTGCTCTCCCAGCACCATCTGTCTGCAGCCTCTGGATGTTCTGCCAAGACCACCTCCTCAGTCCTGCTGGCCCCAGCCTCCTGGGTGGCAGGCACCTCCTAGGTAGGTACCCCTCCATCTGGCCCCAGCAATGCTGTCACCTGAGGCGCCCAGCTCAGAACTTGGGCGCCAGGCCCCCTGCCAGAGTCTGGACGTGCAGAGCAACAGCCCTGCCTGCAGCTCCCGCCTGGGACCTGAGAGTGAGGGCTGCAGGGAGTGGGCAGGGCAGGGCCTGGGCATGCCAGGGCCTGGGTGCCTCGGCCCACTGGGTGTCAGGAATGCGCTGCCTGGGGGTGCCGGGAAGGGGACTCTGCCTGCACCTCACACCTCAGCTCAGACCTCACCCTGGGGAAGGGTTCCTGGGGGCAGGGGTATAGCTTCTCTAAGCAGAGCAGGGCTGGGAGCTCCGGCAGGAAGGCTGGCAGGGGGCCAGTGTGGCAGCCAGGCCCTGTTAGTCACCCTCTGTCTGGGCTGGGTAGGGCGCCTAGCGAGTCCGCTGCCTGACCACCCATGGGCATCTGCCCCCAGCCTGACAGGTGCGAGAGGGGAGCTGCTGCCTGTGGGAAAGGAATATCTCAGCCTTGGAGCTGAAGGGCCTGGTTCTAGGTTTGTTCTGCCTCAAGGGACAATTTCTTTTCCCTCTCTGAGCTGTGAGTGCCTCATCTGTAAAATGGGACAGCAGCTGTCCCAGCACCCTCCAGGGTTGTTGGGGGAAAAAGTGGGTTCATTCTTTGAAAGGGCCTCCTGACTATGAAGCCAAGGCCAACGTGAGCACTGTCGTTCTGCTTTCTTGTGGCACCAGGACTGGCCCTAGCACACCCCCAGGCCTTGCTCCGGGGACCCAGGAATTTCTGCCCCACTGGGTTAGGGGACCTGAAGCACAGGCACAGAGCAGACTAGTTCAGGTGTTCAGATGGGGCAGAGGATCCACGGCCTAAGGCCATCAGTCAGGTGGGGGTGGGGTACTGGCAGCTAGTCTTTCGAGGGTGGGAGCCCAGATTTGGCTGGAGGTGGCAGCTGGGGGTTGGCTACAATGACCTTGAAGGGGTGGGTCCAGGCCTCAGTGGGCAAGGGGTCCCTGGAGAGCCCAGGTTGCATTCCAGGGCGTGCAATGCAAGGGAAGTGTTGCCGTGCCTACAGCTCTCTGGGCCCAAGTTGTCAGGGTGGGAGGTGGCTGAGGAACAGGGTGGCCACGCCCTCCCAGCTCCCTCATCTTAGAGGGAGTGGCCTGAGGGTCCCCGCCTCTTTGCCTCCTGTGGTACAGAGCAGGCAGAGCTGGGCATTAATAGCAATTGGATTGACATAAATCCCCTTACCACCTATACCCTCTCCACTCTCACCCCGCAACAGCCTTGTGCCCATTGATGGGCAGTGGGGCAGGGTCCTAATCCCAGCCCCCGCATCCCAGGCCCCTCCCTCCTCAGAGATTCCACAGGGAGCACCTCCCACCTCCCTGGAGTATTTTTAGCTCCTACTTGGCCTGCTTAGAGGCCCTTTAAGGCCCTCTGGCTCCCAGCCCAGGATCCAATGGGTCTACGGCCAGAGGACTGGGAGTAGATGGGGGAAGGAGGGTGCACAGAGGGCCGGGTCCAGCTTCCTCCAGCCACAGTCAGGTGTGGGAAAATCCAGAGGGTGGGAAAGATCTTACTGGTATGTAAATGAATGTAAGTTACTATGCAAATGAGCACATTGCTCCTGCTGTTGGATCTGGTCCAGATCAAAGAGTCGAGAAGCTGATCCCTCTCAAACCACCACTGAGGTCACCCTCCCAGCAGCAGCCAGAAGTGGGATGCTGTGCCCAGCTCTTGGAGCAAGGAGGAAGGGAGACCGGACTGCCTCCTTCCTGGAGTCAGGCTGGGCTGGGTGGGAGTAGGTGTCTTTCCAGGAGGTAGGGAGATGAATAAAATGACCTCGCAAGGGCTTTCAAACAGCTGCCTCTTCACCCCATCCTTAGGCTCCGGCCAGACAGCCCCTCCCGGCCTTTGTGGAGGCCCCTGAGCTCCAAGTTCTGGAGAAGCACTTTCTCACTCCTGCCCCATCACTCTTCCTGGGGCAGTTCAAAGCTAATGAAACAGCCAGGTAGAAAGCAGTGGAATCAGAGGAGGCAGGGGAATGGGGCCCAGGGGTGTCAGGGCACCAGGCTGGCTCACCCCAGAGAAGAAGGCCTCCTGAGGGATACTGGGGTGGGGTGATGCTCAGAGAAACAGCCTGGAGGATTCAACTTCCCAGACTCCTCACCTCAGGAAGGCACTGGGGTAGCCCCAGTGGAAAGACTTCAGTTAACAATGAGGGTCCAGCGGGCCCCCATGCCTTACTCCTTAGGCCAGGAAGCCAGTTGGGGAGGGGGCCCACTCCAGCTCTGAGCCCTGGGGTGGGTTGGGGGCAGCTCTCAGAAGCCTGGATCCCAGCTCTGTGCTAATCCTCCTGACTGAGTTAGCCATGTCCCCAGAGGCTTCTCCTGTGGTCGCTGAAACTGCAGTCCTCTCAATCCCTGCCTTACTTCTCCTTACGCTGCCCCCCAGCTCCCTTTCCCCTCTGGCGACTCAGCCTTAGAATCAGAGCAACAAGTCGGAGAAAGTGAGAGAATGAGAGAGGACAGGAGAAAGAGGCCTTGCTCAAGCCTCCAATAATAAAGAACAAGGCTGTTTTTCTCATTTCTTCTCCCTTTCCCTGGCTCCTTAGTATTTTTCCACATTTGATCCCTTAGGGCATTCTTCATGTCATTTAACCTCAATCTCCCTTGCTGTTACCGCCATCCTCTTCCTTCTTTGTTTAGTTCTGACCAAGCCCCTTTCACTTCATTTTCTACAAGATCAGGCTTCCCTTACCTCCTGCCCAGTTTTAAGCTCTCTGGCTTGGCCTGGTCATTGGAGAGAGCCAGAGAAAAAGGACACTATGCATCCACGCCTTCTGCTTGCAGCCACAGCTGCTATGCCCATTTCCTCTGGCATGAGCCTTGGAGGCTGCCAGGTGCCTACCCTGCCCAGGGAAACATGTTTTAGGAGAGCAAGTAAGCCTAGTTCCTGCCTACCTCAGGTATGACCTCATCTTCCAGGAGCTGCAGCCACCCCCGCCCCAGGCATCCCAGACACCCTCATTTCCAGGCAAGAGCCCCAGAGGTATCTCCCATAGCCCACAAGGTCAGGCCGGACCAGGACACCTGGAATCCCAGGAGGGAATGACAGAACAGGTGCTGGGGGAAGGGGGGGAGGTCAGTGACCATCTCCCCGAGGAATAGCCCCTCTGCTCGCCCAGGGGTCCTCATGTATCTCACCAAGAAGCCCAAAGAACCTTGGTTCCCTGTCCTGCTCCTGACCCCTCACTCCAGAGGCTGCGAAATCGGGGCTGGGGTTGCAGTAAGCCTCTGATGTTGTGGGCATGGAACCTCAGTCTAGAGATGAAGGTGATGGGGAACAAAGACACACCTGGGTTTTTAACCATTTCTGGAATAAGGCCACCTTTGAGAATATAACGAAAGCTATGCTCTCCCCTCCTCCAGGCCCCAGAACAATGCACAAATACGCAAGATTTTGCATACACTTTCCAGGATCCCTGCATCTCCTGAAAACCTTCAGTGAACTTCAGGCTAAGACTTTGTTCAGGATCATGAACCCTCCCCCTTTTCCAAAGGGACTTTGAAGCTAACAAAACTGCCACTTGACTTGCTGGATGCCCTGAGCTGTGCACTCAGAAAGCTGTTTACATCTGGCTATACAGCTGGCTGTAGCTAAGCCCAGCTGGCCCAGCTGATTGTCCCAAAGGGTCATGGGGCAGAATTCAGTGAGATGAGGAGATGACCCAAGATGTAGAACCACCCCTGGAAAAGTCTGAGGATACCCAAGTGAGTCACCCAGAACGCTATCTAGACTACCTGCCTCTCTGAGATTCATTAGTTTTAGAAACTTCTGGGCTCCTGGCAGGCCTAATGCCATCTCTAGTTGCCCAGGAAGAAAAGTGGGACCCCTCTGCTCAGCCCTCTTGGGTGAGGTCCTTGGTTAGTGAGGGCGCATCCAGGTCCCAGCTTCAGCACAAGAGCCCTCAGCTGCCGCTGGGAGAAGAAGGCAGATGCAGAGCATTTTACACAAATTATCTCATTAAAAGCCCACTATCACCCCATGAAGAAGGCATGTGGCTCCCCTCCCCCTGACGTGTAAGATAATTAAGACTCAGGTATTAGTGACAGATTCAAGGCAGGAAACTGGCAATGGGACTTGGGAGCCTCTTCTTTCTCCACAGTGCCAAGTTGCCAACAGAGGCAGGAAGGAGTACATAGATCCAGACCCAACCTCTCCTTGGGGAAAACTGGCCCAGAGAAGAGAAATATCCTGCTTAAGGTCACACAGCGAAAAAAAAAGGGGGGGTGTGTGATTACAGAATCTATTATTTACTCCAGCTTTCCATTATTTGCCCTTGCTTTTCTGATATTCTCTTTACACTCCATTGCCTCATATCATGCAGATTCAGCTGAGAATCTTTTTCTGGGCTGGGGCAGAAAGAGCACCAATAAGAAATGTGTGCTGGTGATCAGGTAGGGTCTCCAAAAGATGGAAGAGTGGCTAAGGCCAGACCGCAGCTGCTGGGGCCAGGCTGGGAAGGGTGTGGTGGCCCTAGCCTCTGCAGAAGCTAGATGGAATTGAGGCCAAGTAGGTAGGTGGCCTGGGCAGGGGCTGGGCCAGGAGGGCAGGGAACAAGGCTGGGGCAGTCTGAACTTTGGACATTGCAACTTCCTCAAGTTTCTGCAGGTTCCAGCCAGAGTTGAGAAGGGCTTCAACACACCCTTTATCTGACCATGTCCTCTTGCTCAGCAGGGTTTGACATCTCGGTAGGTCAACCAGAAGGGCTACTGCCCAAAGAGGGCCTGCCTGTCCCGTCCTAACAACCTTCCCTCCTGGGGCAGCCTCACCTTCCCCAGCGGCCTCTTCCCCTAACTGCCAACCTCAGCACGCTGAGCCCATGCAGAGAAACTTCTCAAACTTGGACATGCCCCACTGGGCATGACTAAGGGGGGCGGGGGTGGCAACACAAGCAGCTGGATGCGCTCCTTCCCCTCTCTCCCCTCTGCCTAGCTCTTTCTCCTCCTTCTTGCAGCTGTTGGGGAAGGAGAACAGAAGAAAGAGAAAAACACTATTTCCCTCCTGAGACCAAAACAAACACACTCAGGGTTGAAGATTCAACATGAATCCGTGGAATGCGAGGAGGACGTCTGGTGGGAGGGCATCACTGCTGGGGGTGGGGGTAGGTTGCAGAAGACCAAGCAGGAGTCGGGACAGCAGCTCCTCTCACTTCTACTTCTGCATCCTCAAGGGGTCAGAAGGAGCGCCTGGACAGCTCCAAACGCCCAGACTCGCCCATCACTTCACTCTCCAACCGCCAAGCAGTTGAGAAGGCCCTTCAGTGTGGTTCTGCCGAGGGTGTGGCTGGCGGGCCGCAGACTATGTGCGAGGTGGGGGCGGGCTTAAATGCATGTCCCCGTAGGTTCTTCCCAGGAAAGGGGAAAGGTGTTTATCTTGCAGTTTTCCCCAGTTCCCAGCCCTGGAGAGAAGAGGCATTCGGTATACTAAGCACCCAGTTCACTGAATGGGAGGGGGGTCAGGAAACGGGGACCCCACTTCTACTCTCAAGAGAGGTTTAAAGGCCTGAGGGGCTGAGTCTAGACAGGTTCTGGCCGGGTCAGCACTTGCCAATAACTACCGCCCCCCATCCCACACCCAATCCCTTTACTTCCCGCCAAGCCTCGGCAGCAGAAGGGCTGCCTAGGTCCCCGCTCCCTTAATCGTCGCTCCCCAGAGCTGGAGGCCTGCGAGCCTGGAAGCCAGCTGGCCCAGGGCTTGGACTCCACTCGGGATCCGCACCCTGTTCACACACTCTCCCACCCCACCCCGGCCAGTTTCACTTACAGGTAACGCTGCTGCCGCTCCGTCTGCCGATGGAGGGCGACCGAGTAGCCGAAGAGGCTGCCCGGGTTCCCGGCCTCCTTCACCACCAGGAATCGGGTGTCCAGGTTGAAGGCGGAGGCGACGCGGTCGCTGGCGGCCACCATCAAGGCGAGCGCGCAGAACATCGGGCGTAGGACGCGGGCGGCGCGGCTGGGGCCGGGGCCCATGGCTGCGGACGGGAGCCGGGGCCCGGGCGAGAGCGCGTGAGGGCGTGGAGCTGGGAGTGAGGACCTGTTCACCTGCTCCCCCGCGCCACCGGAGAACACTCTGGCGTCCGCTTAGTTGACCCCGAAGCGCTGATCAGTTTCTGGCCCCCAGCCCTGGCCAGTTTCACGTCCGTTCACGGTCTGAGCTCTCAGATTCCCCTCTGAGGTCCGCGGGTCTGTTCTCCCGCCTGCACTGTCCCGGGTCACCGCCCCCCTGCCCCGGGCACCCTGCCCCCCAACTCGTGCCGGCCGCGCCCACTTGGCCGCACTGTCGCCTCCGATCCGGGCTCGGCAGCGGATCTGGGCAGGCAGACCTGTCGACCGCAAGGAGGACGGGAAGGAGGGGTCCCACCGCGCGCGCCCCGCCTCTCCACGCCCAGCCCCGCACCTCCCCACCTTGCGCGCCCAGCCGGGGCTAGGCTTTCCTTCCGGGGAAAGAGAAAAGGTCCCGGCTCGGCCGCCTCCTCTTAAAGGGGCAGCACCGCCCCTCCCTCTCCATCCTCCCTAACCCGGCTCCGCCCTCTCCCCCAAACACCTGTCCGGAGCCCCCGAAGGCTTGGATTACCCCTCCCCGCCCCTTGTTTCTCCCGAGAAGCGTCGCCTCCCGAGCAAGATGGATTGGACGGGCGGGGCCGGAGGGTGGGATTTGTCCCGCTGCTTTGCTGCGGAGGCTACAGCTGCTGGAAAGGCCGTTCCGGACGCGGCCACCTCTGTGAGTCCGGCTGGAGGGCCCCGGCGTCGGCGCATCTGGGAGCCGACATCCGCAAGCCACTGGCTGGAATGCCCTCGCCTCCGCCGCACTGTGAGCCCCTGAGAGAAGGTTAGCGGTCTCTGGGCGTTCTTCCTCGTACCCAGCCCTTCACCGTCCTTGTCAAGATTTCTTTCTTTTGCCCACTCGCTCCCACCCACCCTGATCCGAGCTGGGAGTGGTCGCTCAACAAAATCATATAGATATTTAGCATTGGTGATAACCAAGCATCGCTAACTGTAATTACCAACAAGACAGTGTTTCCCCAAAGGGCTGCGCCTTCTGATATCTATTTTGTATCATGGATGTCCGGTAGATGTGGAAAGAAGTCCCTTCTCTTTAGAGTGTCTGCGTGGCCAGGGAGCTGGGCCCAGACTGGACCCATTTCTCATCCACCCTTGCCTTCAGGGCCCAGCCCAGCAGAATTCCAAAGGCCCTCTCCAACCACGCAGGCTCCAATCGAGCGTTTGGAGACAGCGGGGGGGGGGGGGGGTACTCCAGCCCCCACTGGTGTGTAGTGGGTGGCGCCAAGGTGGAGGAGTTAGGTGGGCAGGGCCCAAAGGCCTGGTTACCCGCAGAAGAATCGAACGGAAAGGAAACTTAAAGAGATCACTCTGTATTTTCTTGAGTCTGACTAAGATTTCCCTTATTGCAGCACAAAGACCCATTTTTCCCCTGACCATTCTTTTTTCTAGGCTAAAGGAGCTTTCTTATTTTGGTCCAGGAGTTCAGTTCTCAGCTCTTACTTCCTTGAAATTCATTTTAGAGCCCCTATCTCTGAGAGTTTATGATAATAAGAAAACCACCATATAGTAGTGCTTGTACAGCAGAAACTATGCTAAGTGCTTTACAAATTTTTTTTTTTTTTGGGGGTACGCGGGCCTCTCACTGTTGTGGCCTCTCCCGTTGCGGAGCACAGGCTCCAGACGCGCAGGCTCAGCGGCCATGGCTCACGGGCCCAGCCGCTCCGCGGCATGTGGGATCTTCCCAGACCGGGGCACGAACCCGTGTCCCCTGCATCGGCAGGCGGACTCTCAACCACTGCGCCACCAGGGAAGCCCACAAATATTATTAAATTCTCACGGCAATCTTTGAGGTGTTACCTCTGTTTTAAGATGAGAAAACTGAGGCTCAGGGAGGTTAAGCAACTTGAAGGCTATGCAACTCGGATTTTAATCCTGTGTTATCTGAGCCCAGGGCCCTTCTTGACCACTTATGCTAATAATTAACATTTGTACCATACTCAGGGCAGATCTAGGTTTTGTGGGGCCTTGAAGCTACAATTTGGAGCCCTCTTTAAGGAAAAAGATAAAGAATTAGGAGTACAAAATTAAATTCAAAGAATTAGGAGTGCAGAATTAGATTCAGAGCCTGGGAAGGGACTCGAGATGAACTTGTGCTTATGAATCCTTTCACCTGCAGACTCTCATATTCTCCTGGCCTCATTTGACTCCTCATTTGACTTAAGGAGGAACATGGATGTCCAAGGTCACGCAGCTCATGGGAGGTAGAGCTAGGACTGGAGGCCACTGGCCACAGCTGTGTCTTTAAGAGACAAACTCCAGATGTTGGTCAGAAAGCCAGACTCGCCTAAACAAAAGCAGCTGTGATAGCAGCGTTCTCTGCGGTGTTTGGGGAGGACACTCATCCCTGTCTGCCCTTGGAGCAGCATTTGTTCCCAAGCTTTGACTCCCAGAGCTGCCCAGCCTCTCTCCATGGTCTGCTTTGTGGCCCAGAGTCTCCAGGGGTTAGGACATGCGGGGCCAAGGAACAGGAAGCTGACCTGGATGGAAGTTGAACAGTTACCTTGCTCTCCTTCCAGCTGGCTGCTGGGTCCTCTACCTCATTCTTAGAGAAGGAGGAAACAGACAGGGCCAGGAGCCCAGGGGCCAGGGTGGACACTCAGTGTGGACAGGGGCCCCACCTGAAACAGCTTTGAGAGTTCTGTGATGACAGATGGGCTCCATGCCAGGTGTTATCTCTTTGGCCATCCCAAACAGGAATGACCAGCATGTCCGATCCCAGGGCTGGGAGCAGGAAAGGGATGAGGAATGGTTTTTCCACTCTGGGGGAGTGTCCAGAGGGAATGTGGGAGCGGGAGCACGGGTGCCTGGTAGGGGGAGGGCCCAAGCTAAGGAGTGTGGGGGAGTGTCAGACAGATCTGGGGGAGATGGAATGGGAATGGAGGGATGAAGGGACTGGAGGGGTCTCTGGGCTGGAGAGATGCAGAAAGAGAAATCCCCAGTTCATGCCAAAGGTCCAGAATCCTCTGATGTAAGTGACGTTATCACCCACAACCTCATCTCACCCCTCAGTTGACCCATGCCAACCCTTCCCTGTGGAGAAGGGACCCACCTAGAAATGTAAACAAGGAGAATAACATGTGTAATGAGGAGTCTGAGCCCAGTTTTCGATGTTTGACTGCTGACACCTTTTAAGCCGTCCCCTCTCCCTCTTCCCCTTGTGCCTCCCACCTGGACAAGCTCATAGCTTGGTAATAAAAAAAAAAAAAAAAGAAAGCCTGGGTGCTGTGCTGCCTCCTTTGGCGTCCATGGGAGATTCGAACCATGCAAGCCACTTTCCTCACAAATGCTCACCTGGCCTCACTCCCTCACCACAGTAAAAACCCAGGCCAATCTCCCTTCCTCGCTCTCTCAAGCCATCTTGGACCTGTTTTGAGAAGCCAGCCCTGCTCCTCCAGAGACCTCAGTTATGTAAATAATCAACCTTTTCAATCCCTCTTAGTGTGCGTGTGGCATCATCAGTCTTGACATTGAACCAGATCTTGGTTGGGGTCCATCTGCCTCTGTGGGCAAACATGACAACACGCGAACTGTGGGTTCTGCTGTAGAGTCAGGGAGGCTTCCTGGAGGAGGAGTATCTGGACAAGTGAGAAGGAAAGGATTATTAGCAAGAGGGAGCCTCAAGAGAAGAACGCAGAAGAGTTGGGGCCTAACTTGGGGTGCAGTTTTCCCAGTTGTAACATGACAACGTCATATTCTGTAAAGGCACCTTCCATTTATTCAGTGCCTGCTGTGTTCACACCAGCCTTCCTCTGCTGCTCCCCCCGCCCACACACAACACTTCCCCCCCTCCCCATCTCCCTCTCCCAGAGCCCCAGAGCACACCACTTGCTCACTCACTTCTCATAGGAAGGTCAGTGCAGAGATGGAGAGATATGGATGGAGTGGAACTGTGGTTCCTCGAGGGCTGGATGCAGGCTGTCTTCTGCCCTCTCACCTTGCGCAAGTTCCTTTCCTCCTCCAGGCCTCGGTTTCCCCATCTATGAAACGAAAGGCTGGAAGGAATCCCTTATTATTCCTCACCTGGCATCCCTTGTGTCCCAAGGCTCCTAATATTCCTTGAACTAAATGGACCAAATCTCAGCTATGGAACTAAGACTCAGGTCTCTATCTCTGACTTGAATTGAAAATGCAAATTACGGGGGAGGGAGCGGGGAGCAGTGAAGCATGAATGGGTTTATCAGATTTCCCTTCTCCTGTGCCCCAGATGTGGGGGAGGAAAGACATCCAGGCCAGGCAACTTCTCTGGCTCAGAATCTGTCAGTTTCAAGCATTCCTTGACAACCTGCTATGTACTGGCACAGAGCTGAGAACCCTCAGGGGTTCAAAGATGAACGAGGGCTTCTTCAGGAGGCCAGGGTTTCATCCTGGCCTCACGTTCTGAAAGCTCTCAAATTTAAACATTGCGTTATGTTTCAGGGCTGGTGATTATGGAACAATGGGGGTGTTAGAAAGAACATTTTGGCTACAGCGTGAAGCTGGCATTGCCAAGACGAACTGGGCTGGGGAGCAGGAAGGGGCTGCTGTAATAATTTAGGCAATGGGTGAAGTGGGCTGAGCAGGGGCAGGGGCAGAGGGAGGGAGGGAGAGAGTGAGTGAGAAGGACCCAGGGCGCTGATTTGACTTGGACTTCAGGTACATGTGTGGTGGGGTATGCAGCGGGTGGGGGAGGGAAAGAGCAGAGGGGTTCCAGGGATAAATGGGCAGTGACCCCCACAGGGGCCTGGCGAGCAGGCTGCAGACATCAGGAAACATCCCTGCTGGCCAACCCCTTTGTCTTTCTAGTTCCTTCAACCCTCTCCATGGTCCCCTTGCTGCCCGCCACGGCCTGGCCTTGCTGCACAAGCCCTGCCCTCCTGGCTGGGAGATTAGGACTCTATAGCATTCTCTACCTCATGCCAAGGTGGCTTCTTCAAGTTTGGGAGGCCACGGGGACCCACTTGGTAGCCCCAGCTGAGCTGAGTCACCAGCCCCCTAGGGCCTTGCCATTTCTTGGGGAGATGCCTTCTTATTGGCAGGGTTCTTATTGGCCAGGTGGGAAATCTGGACAGGTGGGGGGATTCATCTACCTCCTCCACACACTCCTACTAACTTCCTAGAGATACTGCTAAGGATGGAGGGCCGTGTGTGGTTGTCTGTGGAGCACTCCTATATACATGTTGATTGGAACATGTATCTGTGCACATGGTCCCTTGCACATTCACACCTGTTTGCCTATGTGACTATGTGTCTCTGAATGTTTTATGAACAT